ATGTATATTCGAATGAAAACTTCAAAGCTATTGCATGGTTAGATAATGACGATTGCTTTAAGAAAATATTTAAATTCAGTGACTCAACGATGTCAATAGATGACCTTCGTGGAATGTTACCATCGACGTTTACAGTTGAAGGTTCAGCAGGATTGCTTACAAGATTGTCAATTGGTGGTATTTGGTCTCGTGAGAACATTGTTATAAAATCCAGTATAAGTGAATTTGCTGAAGAATCTATATTATGTCTTTCAAACTACATGTATTCGCCACCGAAGCATTATAGTATAACAAACTTTGTCAGTAAGTTTAACATAAGACTTGTCGAACCTTCTTCAATGAAAGATGTTGTGCTACCTAAAGATGGAAAGGATGGACTCATTATTGAGATGATTTTAATGCATATTAAATGAGCTTGTTCTTGAAGGTCATTCATGATGAAATAACTGTTGTAGAAGATGTTAGCAATTGTTCAGACATTTTGAAGCGTATAGATGAGATAAGAAAGAAGTTTATGAAGCCGCAACGCGGCGAGGACGAAGTCCATGAGAATGTTTATGTTTCATTGACTTTCTCCAGTAACGAGAACTTTTATGAGATAATATTGAAGAGAGATGATTTTAATATGGTGTAAATGGTAGCTTGGGCAGCTTTAGGCGCAATGGGAACAAAAGCATTAGCATTTGGAGCAAAAGCACTTGGAGCTTATGACGCAGTAAATAAAATGAGTGGAGGAAGGTTTCGAAGACATTAGATGCAAATAAAGGAAAGATTGGAGGCTGGGTTGCAAAGAAGTTAAGATTAAATAAAATAGGCTCATAAATAAAGCATCCAATTTGGTTGCGACTGAGTCAGAAAATGCTTTAGGAAAGGACGATGAGTTTGCAAAACACGCAAAAGACTTTAATGACCAGATGAAAGGTGAAACAATGCATTTAAATAGAGTCGATGGAACTCTTCCTCCACCAGTAGTTCTTCCGTATGGTCCCTATGGAATGTATGGAAACCCTTACGAAAGACCATTTGACCCATTGACTGGTGGAAGTAATTGGTATCATTACGGACGAAGAAGAAAGACAGTCAAGTTGGAGACAGACGTGAAGAAAGCAACTAAAAAGAAACCAAGGAAGAGAGTTATAAAGCAATGAATTCAACGGGTGAAAAAAGAGAAGGGTCAGAGCAAGCGGCTAGGTGAAAAAAGAGGTGAGATTTCACCACTTCACCTAAATTTATTTTTTCACCTCTGACAACGTTTATTTTTAAGTTTATTTTTTATTTTATTTTTATATAAATGACGAAAACTATTGAGATAACAAACTACAACGGTCATGAGTTCAAGAATTTGTTCTTTGTTCCTCGTGAAAATACATTCTATCAGATACGAGGGAGAAAGGGTAAAGTTAGTTTAAGCATTTATGAAGGAATGAAGAATGGAAAGTTTATACAAGCATACGATACAAACGGTAAACGTGTTTCATTAGCTTTGTCAAAACTTACTAACATTTATTTTGACAGTAACTTTGACCTATATGAAGAGAAAGTGAGTCAGAAGAATATGAACTGTTATGTGAAGCACAGCAATGGGAGGAGTTGCAATACTTTTGTAAGTGAGAACGTTTATTTTTTACATTAGTGAGGTGAAGTGGTTGGCGGCTTTATAAATATTTAAGGTTAAGTTGGTGTTTGTGTTTGTGTTGTAAAATATACGTTAACGGTTTTGTAAAGTGTCAAATTCACAAGTATTGCGTACGGAGGAACGCAGTGCCTCCGTACACGAGACTTGTATACTAACTGAGTTTACTATAAACAATATGAGCTATAATACAAAACTTATTTCTGGTTTTTACTACCAACAGTTTCCTATAACAGGAAAAGGTGTCATACAAGGAATGTCTGTTCCGTTGACTTTAAGTACACCAATCTTATATATTGTTTCAAACTTAGGTTCAAAGTGTTATTCGAATGTCGACAGAAACTATTATGACCAAAAGATACTTATGCGTATAAACAATACTTTCTCTGCTGGTTTGCCTATTGTTCATTCGAATGCAGAATTTTCAACCTTAGTGAACTCAAACACTTTGGCAAGTATAACGTTGACATTAGTTGACGCAAACTTTGTTCCTGTAAAACTTTTATGTCCTATGTATTTGTCAATGACGGCAGAAAGTTTCGAATTGGAAGATGCAACTGGTGAAAGTATTGTATTACAAGAACAACTTCAACAACAAATAGCTCAAGAACAACAAATGCAACAAATGCAACAACAAAGTCAAGAATAAAAAAATATTTTTTTTATTTTTATAAAAATGTACAGAATAGATGTTTCAGATTTTTATGACTTCCAAGCATTCAGAAATATGTGTCCATTTAGAGACTATAACAAAGCAGTCGAGAATTTGAAACGTTTAGTCATTTATGTCGACTCTGCCCCAGAATGTTATGTTATGAAAGAATGGGATGTAGTCTTTAACAAACCTAAAGCGACAATAGTTTCAGAACAAGAATGTAGACAGAAACTTAAGAAAATAAAAGTTGTACAAGTTGGCATGAAGATGTTAGATGCTTGGGATATCTTATTGTCAAAGTTAGAAGATTTTTCAGTTCGAGGTATAAAGTTCTATACACCTTCTCCAAACTTCTATTCTATCTTCACTGGATATAAATATGAACAAGTAGAATGGAAAGAAAATATTATAGAAGCTTGGTTAGACCATGTCAAAGAAATTATATGCAATGGAAACGAAAGAGTCTATGAGTATATCTTATGTTGGTTTGCAAACATCTTACAACATCCAAGTGCTAAAAATGAAACTGCTCTCATTATAATTGGAAAACAAGGAACTGGTAAGAACACATTCTTTACAGATATCTTATGCAAACTGTTAGAAGGCTATTCGAATCCGAATATGACAAACTTAGAAAACATCTGTGGCAAGTTTAACTCCTCAATAGAGAATATGAAACTTATAGTTTGCAATGAACTTCAAAGTATAGATACAACAAAAGTTTTGAACTCAGATGCTTTGAAGAGTCTTATAACAGACAAAGTTGGAGTTGTTGAAAGAAAGTAAAAGACCAAAGAGTTTGTGAAAATGTTGCAAACTTCATTATGGTTTCAAACAATTCTGTTCCGATGAAGTTAGAAAGTTCTGACAGAAGATATGTAGTTGTCAGAACGTCAGATTCTCATATGCAAGATACAGAATATTTTGACGACTTAGCAGAAACTTTGACATCTGACTTTTACAACCACTTGTTCTCATATTTCATGACATTAGATATTTCAAAGTTCAATCCAAGACAAATTCCACATACCGAAGAGAGACAAACATTGTTAGAAGCAAACAAGAGTGTATATGAACTGTTCATAGATGAAACTGACTTTGAGTGTTTAGATGAAAGGTCATTGTACGATTCGTATAAACAATATTGTCAAGAATATGGTTATATGACAGCTTCTAAACGAACATTCTTGGCAAATGTCAAAAGTCTTTTAGACGTACAGAATGGTGTATATACAAAGAAAAATTTTTATGAGTAAATTTTAAAAAAAATATTTTTTTTTCTCCGATAGAAAAAGATGGCAAAATTCATCTCAGTAAACAAGTACATGTCAGGACTTAAAGAAGAACTAGACCCATTCACATATTTGAATGTTTACTTCTACCATTTTGAAAAGTCTTCATTCAGCAAAGTTTGGAACATCGAACCAGTTAAGTTTGCTATTGTGACTAAAAATGGTGCGAAATTTGAAGACTTAGACATAGAAGGTTTGTTAGCAGTCAAAGAAAGTTTTGACAGAAGGTTTTCAAACCTTAAAGAAGGCAAAGCATACAAACTTGTTATACCTTATGAACCAAAGAAAGCAGACGACTATGAATATTATGAGTCTAAAGTTGTAGAAGTTCAAGGTAAATTGGGTAAAAAGATTTTAGAGTCTAAGCCAGTGTTTACTCCTAAAGAGGAAGAGAACATTGACATTGACCCAGAAATGTTCTAAAAATAAAATTTTATTTTTACATGTCAAATTTCTTTTTCTCTGGAACTGGTTCAGGTTCTTTCTTCTCTTCTTCTACTTTCTTTTCTTTCTTTTCTTTCTTCTTCTTTTCTGGTGGAGTTATGTCAAATTTGGCGCAACTATATTTATGTAAAAGTTCTTTGTCCTTTAATAGCTCATCTATTCTGTTTTCTATTTCATCTTCAAGAACGGCGCATGTGTCTTCTTTGCATTCTAAGAACTTTTGTTGGACTTCATCTTTCCAATCGGTGTCATCTCTGTCAACAAGTCTGTCATTGACAAATTTTAAGACTGCTCTGCTTAATGTTTTATGGTTCTTGTCATATTCCCAGAAACAGAACTTTAGAACAAATTCACCTTTCTTGTTTACACTATGTAAGATTTTATGGTCTACAGATGTTTTGCTGTCGAAAAGCTTGTCTCGAATATAGATAGCGAAATCGCTAGACATTTTCTAAAAGATAAAAATTTTAATTTTTCTAAAAATATGTTAGAAAAAAAGTTTGCTGACATTGACAAAAAATTTGAGAATGTTTTAAACAAGAACAAGAGGAAGTTAGAAAATGCTCAGATAAAGCCTATACATGACAAGTTCTTATTTGCTCAGAATGGTATAACAGGTCTAATTGCACCACCTGGGTCGGGTAAGACTTTCACTTATCTTAAAATGGCTGCACAACAACAAGAACTAGATGAGAAGAACCCATTCTATGAGTTAGTAGTCATTTGTAGTACTTCTGGTCAATTTGACCAAACCGTCAATTCGTTCAAAGATATTATAAAGAAGTCTAAGTTAGTATGTATAAAGGATACTGAGTTGTTAGATTGGATAAAGAAGTACCAAAGAAGAGTTTTGAAGTATAATGCTATAAATGAGTATATAAATTCGAAGTTTAAAGACCCAAATGAGGAAATGCAGAGAATATTAGACAAACACCACTTCAGAAACAAACAGAAAGAGATAGAATACATTTCGAAGAAATTGCAATCTTACGATTGGAAGACTTACCCTCATAGATGTCTTCTTATCTTAGATGACTTTGCTTCTCATCCTTTGTTAAAGAATAGAGAACAAGATATGTGTCGAATTCTTAAGAAGCTCAGACACTTTAACATCTCAGTTGTCATTTGTGTACAGACAGCAAAGAGTTTAAGTAAGGATGTTAAAAGAATACTTACTGACATTGTACTTTTCCCCGGATTGTCCGAAGACGATTTCATGGAACTTATGAAAGAGTCCATGGCAGGTAAGTTTGACAGATATGAACTATGGGAGAAGTACAAAGTCATACAAGACCCTCATACTTCTTTCAGAATTCATATCTACGCAAACAAAGTTCAAATTGTAAAAAGTCAAGCTTGAAAAATAAAGAGTTCATCTACCCTACTTGTTTGAAGTTGTCAAAATACTCTGTTATTTTTTCTTTCAGTAGCGGTAAGTCTTCTTTGAATGTAAATATTGTACAACCTTTAATATCATAGTGTGTTTGAGGTAACGTATCTTGAACTATTTGTTTCACATCTTCATTCGGTGTCATTGAAATCGGTAAGTTTTCGCGATAGAACCAATTTCTGTCAGATTTGTAAATCTTAGCAAGGTCGTAAAAGCTTTTGTTGTTTCTTCTGACTAAATGCAACATAACCATATCTTTATCTTCTTCTTTCTCCAACTCTTCAGTATAAATCATATACTTATAGTTCTTTTCCTTTCCTTTTGGTACCGAACGTGGTATTCTTTTCTGAATGCTTTTGTCTTTTGCTTCAATGACTTCATCTTTTGCTTGAAGTTTCTTTTCCATCTCTTCACGTTCTTGTCTATGAATTTCGTCAAGAAGTCTGTAAATATACCAAGCATAACGAGGCGAACCCACATTGCAACAGCATTTACAAGAAGTCTATGTACATACCAACCTCTCAAACCATTTGGCAAATTTTTACGATTTTCATGAGTTTTAGGCGACCCCGAAAAAAGTCGGTCTCGCTGTTCTTCGCTCAAAAGTTCTTGTGTGCTTTGGTTTTTGAACCAATCGTCTGTATGTTTGGTATCTGGAGCAAAACATGCTGTCAAAATACTTTGCATCTGGTACATATCGTCTTTGACCGAACGAATGAGTCTCAATTGTTTGTTATACTGAACCCACTCGTATTCTTCATTTATAGCTTCATGGACTATAACTGTTGTTGTGTTCTCTGTTGTTGACATATCTGTCTTTACATACAAAATAAAAAAATATTTTATAAAAAATTAGCGTTATTTTTTCTGACTTTCACAAAAGACCAAAAATAAACGCTTTACATGTATTTTTCAGCAACTTCGTCAAATAATTTTATAGCTTTATCTATCTCATCTACTTCAAACGTTTCTTTACCTTTTATGGGAGCACCATACATTTTCTCAAACTTTTCAAGTAGTTCTGTTTCTGCAGCTCTCATATCATTAACGAACACAACCTTGACTCTATTGACTGTACTGTCATATCTTAGAGTTATATTATATGTTCTTCCTATCTTATATCTTTTTGTGTTGAAGTCCTTCGGTTTCTGAACGATGTAAAGTAAGCCTTCACTGCAACGTTCCGTATCGAATGAACCATATGTTATGAAGTTATATCCAACAACTAGGTCTAACCATAACAAAACTATTGGTATAAGACTTTTGTCAATGAGATATGCTGTAGTTCCATAGAATCTTACCGATATTAAAAGCTCAGGATTTCTTGTCAAAATTTTCTGAGTAGAAGCAATTTTAACCCAGTCCTTCGGTCTCTTTCCAGATGGAGATAAAATGTCTGACAAAGAATATTTGTTGTATTTCTTTGAGTATCTTACGTTTAAATCACCTATTCTAACCAATTTGGTGTCATTGTCTATCTTTTTAACTGTTTCAAACTCAATGTTTGTCATTTCTGTTCTTACATACAAAATAAAAAAATAAATAAAAATAAAACTAACTTTATTTTTTCTGTCTTAAGGAAATTCATGATTTTCATAGAGTTTTGGCGACTAAGGTTTCTTACCTACTCGCTGTTCTTCACTGTTTTCGTACGGAATTCAGCAAAAATATATTTTATGTTAGAATGTTAGATCTAACATGTTTTCTAACACGTTTTCTAACATAGTCTAAAACACACAAAACTCATGAATTTTCAAGACTTCATCGAACTTAAATGTTTTTGTCAAGACTTTGTCATATGATTGCTTCTCTCGGTTTTCCGAGGGAAGAGATTCCATGTTTTGTCAAGACTTCATTGTAAATGACCAAAAATATATTTTATGTTAGAATGTTAGATCTAACATGTTTTCTAACACGTTTTCTAACATGGTCTAAAACACACAAAACTCATGAATTTTCAAGACTTCATCGAACTTAAATGTTTTGTCAAGACTTCATTGTAAATGACCAAAAATATATTTTATGTTAGAATGTTAAATCTAACATGTTTTCTAACACGTTTTCTAACATAACTATTTACAAGCGTTTTACATGGTATATGTTGCGATGGTTCATGACTTTAAACAGTTTTGTAGCCTCTATTTCTTCTTTTAGTACATCGAATGTTTTAACAATGCCGAAGGTTTCTTTATATTTCTTCTTGACGTCAGATAGAAGGAAATCTTCTGCTGTTGGATAGTTTTTGTTCAGAAATGCTAACATGTCCATTTTATTTTCTGCTGGTTTTTCTGCTTCTTTCTTTAAATCTGCATAGTCGTTTCTCATTCTTTCTATCTCTTTGACGGAGTAGTTATATTTCCTCATTGCTGCTTTACATTTAGAACATTGCGGGTTCATTTTTGCGTTATATTCTGAAACCTTACCTGCTAAAACAACTAAAGCGTCAATGGTTTTCTTTAACTCAAAAGTTGCTGGTTTTATTTGTTTGTTCCATACTTTGCCTCTTCTATCTTCATCTCTTATCTGCCATACACATTCAGCAACTAACGAAACAAAGTTGTCGTAGGTCTTAAATTCTTCAGATTTATATATGTCAGAAACATTCTTATATACCATGTCGCAATCTTTGTCCATAACCTTATGGTTGCAATGAAATCCTAGAAACTCATAGTTTACCTTTCGTATGAACTTCTTTATTTCTACTGAGTCAGTTGCTTTGACTTCAATTTCGTCGAATTCAGGAATAGTGAGTTTTTGTTGCTGAATTTCAGGTAGTTTAGGCAAATGGTCAATAATGTCCTCCATTTCATAAAGATACTGTTCATTTGTTTCATCTTTCGCACTACAGTCTAAATTACTTGTTAACAGTTCTTGCTTTATCTTCTGGATTTCTGTTTCAAAAGTATATGAAGAAGGAATGAAGCTTTTCATCTCTACTAACATAGATGTTGGATTCATGACTAAAGAGTTTGGTGCTGTTGTTTGAATTGTTGTTGTGCCGATTGTTGAAATCATATCTTTTATACAAAATAAAAAAAAATAAAAAAAATAAAACTAACTTTATTTTTTATTTCGGGAAATTTCATGATTTTCGAGAGTTTTAGACCATGTTAGAAAACGTGTTAGAAAACATGTTAGATCTAACATTCTAACATAAACTTTATTTTTGCTGAATTCAGCAACAAAATGAACGAGGTCAGGATGTATGTAAATACATTTGAATTCATTCATAACACCCTTTGTAAGCTCATAAAATGCTTGTTTTGAGGTCGAGCCACTTTTGGCTCCACCGTATTCTTTCAACCAAAACTCAAGAATTTCCTGCATGAATTTTGTATAAAAAGCAACCGTCTGAATTCAGACTGTTGCTATATTCTTCACAAAACATTTACGCTCATTACGATGAAGAAGTCTTGACAAAACATGTACGATGAAGTCATGACAAAACATTTACGAAGAAGTCTTGACAAAACATGTACGATGAAGTCATGACAAAACATTTACGAAGAAGTCTTGACAAAACATGTACGATGAAGTCATGACAAAACATATACGCTCATTACGATGAAGAAGTCTTGACAAAACATTTACGATGAAATCATGACAAAACATTTACCCGACATTCTCGTCAAATACAAAATAAAACTAACTTTTTCATTAGATAACTGTTATTTTTTGACGAAGTGAACATTGACACTTCGTCAAAAAAATCCCTGAAATCATGTCTTTACATACAAAATAAAAAAATAAAACTAACTTTATTTTTTCTATCTTAAGGAAATTCATGACAAAACATTTACCCGACATTCTCGTCAAATACAAAATAAAACTAACTTTTTCATTAGATAACTGTTATTTTTTGACGAAGTGAACATTGACACTTCGTCAAAAAAATCCCTGAAATCATATCTTTACATACAAAATAAAAAAATAAAACTAACTTTATTTTTTCTATCTTAAGGAAATTTATGACAAAACATGTACGAAGAAGTCTTGACAAAACATTTACCCGACATTCTCGTCAAATAAAAAAATAAAACTAACTTTTTCATTAGATAACTGTTATTTTTTGACGAAGTGAACATTGACACTTCGTCAAAAAAATCCCTGAAATCATATCTTACATACAAAATAAAAAAATAAAACTAACTTTTTCATTAGATAACTGTTATTTTTTGACGAAGTGAACATTGACACTTCGTCAAAAAAATCCCTGAAATCATATCTTACATACAAAATAAAAAAATAAAACTAACTTTATTTTTTCTATCTTAAGGAAATTCATGAAAATTCATGAGGTTAGAAAACATGTTAGATCTAACATGTTAACATAAATTATATTTTTGGTCCGGGAACAACTTTCTCTCAATTGGAGCTGTGGCATACTCTTTGCGTAAGCGGTTCAGACCTTCTTCGAACTCTTGGTCTCTCTTCGATTTGGATTGAGATTGGAATTGCTGAGGTGGAGCTTGCTGGAACATCCAAGGGTTGGGGAAGTAAGGCATAGGCAGAGGAGGGTAGTTCGGGAAGCCTTGTGGTGGGTAGTAACCTTGAGGTGGAAATTGGTAGTAATTTGGTGGAGGTACTTGCTGGAACTGAGGTTGCTGAGGAGACTGTTGTGGTTCTTTAGGTTCCTCTGGCTTTGGAAGGCGTTCAGGAAGAGGAACGTCAGTCATCCGTTTGTGTCCTGTCAGAAGGAAGAACTTTTCCTGTTGGAAGGAAAAACTTTTCCTGTTGGAAGGAAAAACTTTTTCTGTCGGAAGGAAAAACTTTTTCTGTCGGAAGGAAAAACTTTTTCTGTTGGAAGGAAAAACTTTTTCTGAAGTTCGACCAAAAAGTTCTCAATTTTCGAAAATTTGAATGGTTTACGGACGGACAACTGGAAAAATTTTTTCTGTCGGAAGGAAAAATTTTTTCTGTCGGAAGGAAAAACTTTTTCTGTCGGAAGGAAAAACTTTTTCTGTCGGAAGGAAAAACTTTTTCTGTCGGATGGAAGGACTCGGAATGCCAGAAGGATTTGACGAGGCAGTTTACCTAATTGAAATAAACGACTGCGTAAAAGACTACTTGCGCAAGGTCATGAAGCCCAAGGTCAAGTTCACCACTATTTCTGGAAGGGCTGCCTTGAATCTCGAGACTTCGACTGGAATTCCAATTCAAATACCAGAAAACACTCCTTTCGACGACATAAAGCAAGCAAAGAAAGAAGCTCGTGTTAAGTTCCTAAACAAACGTCCTTGGATACTACTTCCAAACAGAGAGAGTCCAATTCCACGAATTATACAAATTCTCAGAGCACTGTTCCACTTCTCGGGTCAGCCGTTCTACATAACCTGTGAAGGCGACATCCAACCAGTTCAGTAAACCTTAACGTTTAACTGCACTTTTTTATGTTTTTTGTGAAAGTGTCAAAAATAAATTGTTTTCATGAGTTTTCTACGATGTTAGAAAAAATGTTATTTTCTAATATCTTCACATTCAATACTTTTTCAGCACTTTTCCGTAGTTATATATGAAAGACAATTCGAGATAAAAGTCATAGTACAATGGAATAATATGTTGCACACCATTTGTTGTGAACCAAACTTGAAAGTCAGAGAAACTGTTACTAGGTGGTTCGTAGAATTTAGAAGCAAAGTCATAAAAGTCCTTACCAATACATAGAAAACTATTGTTGCTTGAACTGAAACTTGCATGACACATAACATTTTGAGGGTCAAACACGTTTCTATAAACTGTCAAATCTGCTGGTGGAAGTATAAATTTAAATGGACCATCTGGTGGTAATGGTTCGTTCTGGTTTAGTAACCGAAGAAATTGTGCCCAAGAACGTTTGTCTACTTCCAAAATAAAAACTCTGTATCTCTTGGAGGGTTAATTTCAATCTTTTGAAATGAAACGGTGGAGTTCATCTTGTCATATTCTAGTTTCAGATAGTATGTTCCATTTAGTAAAGAGTCGTATTTTTCTTGAAATTCCCAATAATATTTGTTCATTTGAGTTTGAAAGTCATTTAGAGTTTTCTCAAGACTTTCGTCTGAACGAACTGTAAAGATTCTCATTTCGTCAAATTTGTCTATTAGACCATCAGAACCTTTATACTGCCCATGAAAATATACTGCGAACATAAATGCGTTAGTTCTATTTGAAAACAAAACTCTTCTAAATCCTATTGCCTTTGCATCTGAAGGACTTTGAAGCCAACGAATTGGATAGTCAAACCTGTATACTCGGGATGAAATTTCTTCATCTGAAATAGTCCTACCAGCATTTGTAAAGATATAGTCTAACGGTTTTGTATCTGCTACTTTTGTTCTTTGTTTTTCAACCTGAAGCATTTAATATATGTAAAAATATATTGTTTTAAAATGGTATGCCATTTCATATTTCTCATCTAACAAACAAGTTTCCCAACGGTCTTCTCCAACAAACTCAGCGTACATTTCAAATAAAATTAAAAAATGTCACTTTTTTAAAAATAAATTTTTACTTCATGCAATGTTCACTAACATCGAAAGGCATGTCCATAAGACGTTCTTCTTCTAACCTCTCTAGTCTGTTTGGATAATTTGCACGTGCTGTTTCCAAATCCATTTCGTAGCGAAGACCAGACAATTTGTCATAGACTTTTATGGGTCTTCCCTTCCTATATTTAAAATTCTTCGAAACTCTCCAACCATATCTTTGCAACTCTGCTTTTATTCTAGCAGATTTTCTATCCATTCTATATGGGGGCATTTTTATAAAAATAAAAAAATATTTTTTTCTTTACTTAACATAACCGCCTGCTGCCATAAGTCTTTGACGCCAACCCATACCAGCTAATGAAGGTTGACTTGGTTTAGTTTCCAAACTAAACTTTGGTTTTGGTTTATCTTCAGTTTTTGGTTTTTCTTCTTCTATCGGTTTTTCGTCACTTTTCGGTTTCTCTGACTTTACTTCACTTGCAGGAACAGTTGTGTCGTCAACATCTTCATAAATATCATATGCCATTTGTTTTTGTTTTCCTTTCAACTTTTTGTGTTTGTTGTAAAGTTTAGAATATTTCGACTCTAAGTCAATGAGATGTTCTATAATGAACTGTTGGTCAGTGAAGTAAACTTTTCCATCTGTTGTCTCGAAAGCTCCTTCAGACTTCAATATTTTATTTGTGAGAGTCTGTTTCTTTTTTGAGATACTTGCCGTTCCATTTTTATGAAAAGTGACTTTGTAGTTAGGGTTTGTATTTCCAGACCTGGCACTTTCTATTATTGAATTTTTCTCTTCATCTGTAAGTTCTTTGACAGGTTTTGACAATGGTTCTGAACTTTTTGTTTGTGGTGTCAAATCTACCGTTTCAACTTCTTCGGTCATTTCATCTCAGTAAAAAATTTTAGTTTGGTTTGTTTTCAACTGGTTGTTTAGGTTTTTTAAGTCGGTCTAAAACTTCCTGAGGTATAGGAAGAACTTGACAAACACGTTGTGTAACTGCTGGAAGCCGACAAATCCATCTTGAACCCATTTGTCTCAATGCTGTATTGTTCATTTCATCTCAGTAAAAAACTTTACATTCCCCACGTTTGAGGCGGTTGAGGTTGGTTATTGTTTACCCATTGTTGTGCATGGTTATATCCTCTGTTAAAGAATCTTTCACCTTGGTCCATATAGTGTCCTGCTTGGTTATAGTAGTCATTTGCTTTGTTATAATAGTTTCCTGCTTGTCTTCCTACATTGTCCATCCATCCTTGAACTTTTCCTCTTGTTTCAGGATTTGGAATAAGATTTGTTGCATCTCGTGCTACATCCCAACCTTTCTGTACAGTTTGTATAATAGGTTGTGCTTTCTCTTTAAGTATACCTAATGTACTCAAAATCTTCCTTCCAACTCCAAATACACCTCTGGCTATTGTTCCCACTGCGGGCAAAAATCTGGATGCAACTCCTGCTAATGCGCCAAATAAACCCATTTCTTATAGGATAAAAAATGACGAATCCAAACAAGGACCCCTATGTTTCTAAAGCGACAAAGAAAGCACTCATGATAAAAATCTTTAGTTCAACACCAAATGCTTGGTTTATGGATATCTTGGAAAACATTCCGAGAGTTAGAACAGATGGACCACCATACTGGCTAATATTTGTCGGTCAAAACACAAGATACTGTGAAGCCATACCATTACAGTCCAAAGCTATTTTAGATATCTTAGCAGCTTTGACAATATTCGTTGACAAATACCATCCAACAAAACTGACATCTGACTGTGAAAGTTCTTTCAAATCAGATGATGTAAAAAACTATCTGCGTTCAAAAAATGTAAACCAATATTTCATTGTCGACCAAAACCATTCTGCTCTTGGTGTCATTGACGGTTGTATAAAAATGTTAAGAGACTTAAACCAACCACAAGGTGGTGAAGCAAATGAAATGTCATATGACGACAAATATAGACACTTCTCCATGGCAAAGATGAGACAAGTTTTAAATATTTACAATAGCCGTAAACAAAAAGGTTTGGGAAACCACTCCCCTGAAGAAATGAAAAACAACCCTGACTTAGAGAAAGACTATATATTTAATAATTTAGTCAAAAGAGACAAACAAGAAAGAATGCCGGGCTTCAAACTTCAGAAAGGTGACAAAGTAAAAATAGAAATACCTAAACGCGACCCATATGAAAATACTATTGACTATGACAACAATGGGAACCCGACAGGTACTCACATTCGTGTTCGTAAAAATAGAAGAAAGTATACAAGAGAATATTATGAAGTTTTAGGCAAACATGGCAAAATGTACACACTGCAAGCAGAAGATAAAACTACTATTGTCAGACCTCGTTTCAAACTTGTCAAAGTTCAAGGTGGTATACTTTCAAAGACAGTTCCTAACAAATATAAGACAACTCCTGACGAATATGCTAAAGAAGTTGAAAATGACGACTAAGCATTTCTATACCATGCGTAAACTGTCATGTAAGGTGGCATGTAGTCTTTACTTTGTCCCGTTGTTTGCGTATATCCTGAAACGCGATGTGTATGGTTTCCTCCTCCCTCAGTGTTACTCCAGAACAATTTATAGCAAACTAACGTGTCTTTAACATCATATCCTTTACCTTTTGTCATTGCTGACCAATCCCAATATCTATGCTTATGCCAACCTGCTTGAGATGTACTTAAATCTATGTAGTGACTATGTGCAGGTAAATTTTCACCTGAAATCGTTTTACTTCCACCTGTTTCCTTTGAAGAGTTTGCACAATACAAAAACCTGTCGACTATTTGAGTCCAAGTTCCAAAACCAAGTACTACTTCTGGTCTGGTAGAGTTCATTGACGTATAAATAGAGCCTATAGGATATAATGTTTGAAGCATTTCTGTCTTTAATGTTTGAAGCTCTGTTTTGTCTGCTTTCTTGTCATATAAATCTTGAGCAGTGAATTTAATATTATATTCATCCTTCATGACATAAACATCTTTACATCTAATGTTTCTCATCGTCGTTATGTCGTCATCCGATGTTAAACCTTGTGGAAAGTTAGGAGGTTTACAATATAATGCATCCCCACCAGTTTCTTCAACCGTTCCTTCAATACTTTCTATAGCAACAGTTGTAAAACTTGTATGTGTATGGTTCTTGTCTGCTTTCTTCTCAAGGCTAACGTTTAAGTCTGTTATTTCAGATATAGAATGTGTATGTCCAACGGCACTTTTCCTGTTTAAGGTTTCTTGTAAGTTTGTAATATTTGCAATGGTATGTGTATGGTTCTTGTCTGCTTTCTTTTCAAGGCTAACGTTTAAGTCTGTTATTTCAGATATAGAATGTGTATGAGTCTTTTTAGAATATTCGTTTTCAGCTCTTGTCACTTCACTTGACATTTTATTGTCAACATATGTTTTGTCTGCTAGTTCAGGATGAGTATGTTCTTTTGTTGCATAAGCATTGTTAGCTCTTTCTTCTTCTTTTGCTATTGCATCGTCTACATATTCTTTGTCAGCTTTGTTGTCAACATCTGCTTTCAAAAGAAGTTCATTTATAGGTTTCTCGTTTAAAGTTCCTTTTGTTGGATTTATACAGACAGTATTGTTCTTCTTGTCTTGAAATAGAAACTCATCTGTTAAAGGGTTTAATGTCAGTTTTAAGTTTCCTTCTTTCAATGACTCAGATATCTTAGAATAGTTTGAAAAGTTTGTTGTGTTCTTATTTAGAGCTTGCATAATGAGTTGTCGGTTGTGTTGTATTTCTCTCATAGACGCTGTTTCATTTGACATTTTTATTCTAGATAAAATATGCTTCCAATAGAAAAAGAAAATTCAAGAGTTGCTACAACTAAACCATTAGATGAACTTTTTACTAATGTCGGTCAAAAGTTTGAGACAGAGACCGTAAAAGCATGAAGGCTATCGTTTTGACTACCCATTAAGATGGCTAAGAGACCCATCTGTCACAAAAGCTATTGGCTTTCGTAGAATGAAGTTCATTTCAGAAGCCATACATGGTTTCCCATTTACGGTCGGTTTTGAAGTTCGATACTATAACAAAGAAAAACGTATGTATGAGAAATTTGAACAGGGAAAACTTTTACAAGTTAGTTTGCTTGTAAACTTAGAAACAACTCTTCAAGCTTTTCAAGAAAAAATAAACGATATCTATATCGAATATGCAAAACCAGTATAACATTGACGAGGGGGAGTACCATCTCGATATTATTTATGACAGGAAAAATGCAACTGTTAAAATCAATAGAATAGAAGACCTTGGAGAAAACGTTTATATTTCTACAAAATATAACAACTTGGCATGGTATAGATTTTTGAGGATGTTAAATCAGCCTGCAGCATATCCAGTACACCCAGACTTTTATGAAGTCGAAAACCCTAATGGAACATATGAAAATATTTTCGACCCAGATGCTATTATTGTTCATGCTTCATTTTCTGGTGCGCAAAACTCTTTCTTATGTCTGATGAATGATTTTTACGAAAAACCTACAAAGTTATACGAACCACCAAGTGGAAGTATTTCAGACTTTCAAGTATGGTTTACTACAGATGGAAAAAAGAATAATTCCATTATACCATGCGTTTTACTTAGAACTTAGTTTCATATACAACTACTATCGAACGGTAAAAATATAATTTTTTAATACGGTTGAGGTGTTGGATTTGGTTGCCAACTAGACTGTGGTGCAGGTTCAGGCTGTTGTATAACAGGAGCTTGTTCTTCTGGTTCAGGGTCTTTAGGTATAATACCAACGAACTGACCTACCCTTTTACCAATATTTTTGACACCGTTCCAAATTCCTCTTCCTACGGTTTTTATTCCATTCCATATACCTCTTCCAACATTTCGAAAGAAGTT